TATCCAAATAATTTCAATATAACATGCATAGTATTTTTAAAGGACTTATAAACATATAAATAGGAAGTTTGTGACGGTTGTTTGTAGTGTTATATACCTCATTCATGCCTTGTTTGCCACCATTAAAGATGATGTTACTGTCTGCTGCTTGTTTTGGTCAATATTGCTGATCAGACAGGAGAGCTGCAAATATGGGTGTTTCTGCTGCTTTTTGTGAGAGTTCTGGAGTGTATTTTTTGTATGAATATTTATCAACCTGTCACCTCTTGTGATTTAGCCTAAACAGTAAGCACAACAGGGCAAATACACTGATGAGGACTGTGTATGATTGTTCTTGTTGTAGGCTCTATTCTAAATATGCTCTTAGAGAAATGGAGAGCTTCAGCACATTTAATGATCTGACTCCAAAATGAATGACAAAATAAAGATGCTGTATTTACAGTCTTTTGAGAACATAATTTTGAAGAAAAACTGAAATATCTAAAGCTAAATTGAACAAAACTTACTTGGCAAGCTGAATAACTTTGGAGAGCTCTTTCAGGTTCATCACTTGAAAACAGACCTTCTAACCTATTGCAAAATCTGGGTCACTTTGTAGTTCATTATTTTTCTTAATTCTCAATGTGGTCAACAGTGTCACTGTTTTTCTTATTGTTTTTGATGGAGAATGATAATATTTGGGACTTTTAAAGCAAAGTCAGAGTTCCTTTAAAGCAGGCCTAAAGGGGGAGTTCATTTTTTGCAGCCCCTCTATCCCATTGCCCACTGATGCTAGTAGCTCTTCTGAGGTTGTAGGCTCAGCCAGATCAGACAAATCTGCTTTCTGGGGAGGGGCAGGCAGGAAATTTGCTGTCCTAGATAGTGTAGGCTAAAGGCTGATGGCCTTGTGGCATCTGAGGGAGGATGGTTGAATCAGCTCATGGGGTTATAGGTGCTACACTGGGGATTTTTCTTTTTATATGATATCTAGAGCTGCCAGATTGTAACACTTCCTATTTCAATGAGAAAGTGATGATAACTATTATAATGAAAGTTGTCAGCTGCAGTTACAGGTTAGTGCCTCAGAGAGCTAATTACTTGCATTCTACAAAGTGTTAAGTATTGCATTAAATTAAAAATGTTGGGGTTTTTTGTTAGGAAAATAAGACTGAGAAACTGTATCTTGGTATTACAAAGGAGGTGGTTCTTCTGTGGGCAATATCAAATTAGTGGGTACACACTGATGTCAGTGTCAAACTCCATTTGAAGGAGTAAGCACTCTTCATGATATGAAGATTCCAGTGTGGTTCTGTAATTTCCTTTTTTACGTAGGTGTGTGGTAATGTTGAAGTCACTTTTCAGTCACAGCTGGCTCATACAGGTGGATTTAGCAGTGCCGTTGGCAGCCTGCATCTCTAGCGCACTTGTGCACAGCAGGCGTGAAACTGAGCAATTTTGGTCTCTCCATTTCTGCCAGTGAGAATTTTAAAATGTGCTGTGGGTCAAATAGGATAATTGATGTGAGAACAGACAGCCACTGACTGCGCACTGCTCACTTCACAGCCTTTCCTGGCTGCCAGGAGAGAGGGGGCCAGCCACAAGGTCTTGACCAGTGTCAAATACTGTTATTCCTCAGATTAGGCAGGCTGCAGGCACACTGCTTCCCTGTAGTTGTCTTTCCCTCAGCAAAGGCAGAATAACTGATCTTTTGTGTTGCCACTTTGTCTTATGGTCCTACTGCCAATGTTTTTATCTTGCCTGTTCCTGAAACTTCAGATGGGAATTAATATAGTTCTTTATTTTCCTAGGGTTGCTGCACTATTAAGTAAGTAGTTTACCTGTGAATAGGTCCATGTGATTCTGGGGAATGACAAGCATTTTTTGTGCTCTTCTTTGGGGTAGAGGGTTTCACTTCAGATATGACAGGAAGCCTTTTTGTGCCATAGGAGAAAATGTGCTATTGGGCACAGAACTGAACTGGTAATTTTTTTCAGCCACAGTGCTGGTGATGGAAATTAAAAACTGAGAAATAGGTCAGATAAATTTAAAAACATCAATTTGCTGTTCTGAGAAACTTTAAAGTTGCCCAGACATTTTAAAAGGAAAAAAAAAACCCCAACCTGAAACTATTTAACGTCTGAGATGTGGTTCTTCTGGAACAGCAGATCTGCTCTCTCCCAACATCTACCAAGAAAGGAACAAGGATCACACTGATTCCTCTCCTGTGGGTTCCTGCAGTCATAGCTTAAATTAAAGGCTGCTTCCAGATAATACAATCTAATAGCTATAGACCTAACCCCTTTTTTCCTCCTTCTCCTTCATGGCAGGAGGCTGCTAGTTTGTGTAGGCTTTCAATAGGTACTTGGATCTCTGTCATTTGATGTGTTCTTGCAAAGTAGAAGGGTTAGCTGATCAGTCACAGTGAAAATTGTTATTAATCTTTGAGATGTGAAAATGGGGTAACTTAGTGCTTTAATAGAACTTGATAAATTAGTGTTTCTAAAACGTGAATCAGAAAAAATGTCATTAATTTGCTAACTAATGTCCGTTAAACACAAAGATCTGGCTCAGTGAATGTTTCTGCATTGATCTGTAAGGAATTTTTCATTTGTGCTAGGAAAAAAATAAAACTCTGAAACTGGGTTTATATAAAGCAAAGGAAAAGCACGTACTGTAAACTGGCAGAACTAGTCTAGACTTATGTAACTGAACCTTGTGATTTGAATATGAATACATGTTGGTTTCATGATGATTGTGACATGTTTTCTAGCCACAATTGAACCTCTTAAAGCTATGGTATCCTCCATGCAGAACTTGGGGTATGCCTTTTTTTTTTGTTATGGATTGAGTTCCTCTTGACTTTGCCCACTGAGGGCATTAACACCCCAGTTCAGACCAGGAACCTGCTTCTGATGTGATCTCCTGATAGTCCCCTGTCCTGCACGTTGGTTCCTCAAGAGTGGCCCAAGCACCTTTGGACAGGTGTTAACTGGGAAACATGCTCCAGTGGCTGATGGACGGTCTGGTCAGTCTGCAGGGAAGCCTGCAACTTGTCTCCTGTGAATCTGAGTGAGAGGCATCTTGTGGACACTGGGTACTCAGCAGCCAGTGTTTTGGTCTACAGCTCTTTTCCTGTCTGCACTACTGCCTTGTGTAGACGTTCCCTAGGTGAAATTCTCTAAAAAAAGCAGGAAAAAAAACCACCACCGGGTCTCTCTCTTCATGTGTTCCTCTCCTTTTGTCCCCTGAAGTGAATGTAAAATGGAAGGGGCTTCTGCACCTCACCTGTGTGTAGCCATTTCTATTGTACATAGTGTATTTAAGATAAACTGCTATTTGATATCAACAACCTTTGGATTAAATCCTGGAAAAATGTGAAAGAAGATACACTGATGTTGCTGTAGCTGTTAGATTCTAGCATTTTCAGTTGCAAAGCATTTTTTCAGACAGTTGCACAGCTTAAAACTGCACAGAACACCAGTACCACTACTGGGACATAATGGCAGTCCAGACTGCCCATTTGTCCCGACTTTCTGTTCTTAACCCCAAAGTGCCATTGCATTGTATTCTCTTGCCTTTCATGCAGAAACACCTCCAGATAACTTGCAAATATGAAAGTCAAATGAAAGATTGCACATTTTTAGAATGTCCTCCAGCCAGTATACATAGCAGTCATGCATACAGCACTTCTTTCTTTTATTTAGCCATGTGGCAGTGACGTGGATTACCTACTCTGACCTTTCTGGTAATTGCCCAATTCATTTTAAAGCAAGCATTTAAAAAGACTGAAAAAGGAGATAGTAACTTTCTGAAGCACTATGTAGATCTCCAGAAATTTACTCAATAAAATTATGTCAATGCTCTTGTAATCAGCTTTACAACAAACAAACATCCGGTCAATTTACTTGTATAATCATATTAACTATCTTAATTTGTGAATTGTAAACTGTTCTGCAGAGTCATGAGACTTTTTCTCGGCCGTTGTGCTGGAGTGGAGCAGCTGGGACTTAGAAAGCAAAAAACATTTGTGTGGTGACTAAATGTAAGGATGACTCAGCTGAAATTTCTGATGGTGATATGCAGTTAGGGAACTTAGCAAGCATGTGGCTTGCCCACAATGTCTCACAGCCGCTGCCTTGTCACGAACAACTTGGATGACCCCTATGTATATACACTAAAACAGAATCTGGCATTTTAATGCTCTACCTCTTTTAATTTCCTTGAATGGGCTGTATTAAGTTTGGAGATTTTTTTTTTTTTTAAACTGACAAAAATTATGCAAAGTGAGAAGAGTTTGTAGTATGCTGTAGAATTAGAGAAAAATAATAACTGTGTGTCCTGTGCATACTGTCTGCTGTCTCTAACTGAGAAAGAAGTCCTAGATTCTGACAGAAATTGGGAGGGAAGTAGAGAAGGAAAATATTTTTGTTAATACATTTTCAAAAGAAGATTTTTTGGTGTTTTTTTTTTTTTTTTTTTTTTTTTTTAACATGACAAAATGATTAATATAGAGTGGTCAAATTTAAGGGGAAACCTGCTCTATGATAAAATAATTTCTGGTTAGCCTCAAGTTGAAATTTTTGCAAGTTTGCTCTTTAGATCTGTTTTTGCCTCTTTGTAATTGTGTTTGAAACTGTTTAGTCAGTGGAAGATGGGGACACATAAGGATCAAAGTGTGGCAATTCTGAGCAGTAGGATCTGTTTCCAGCTTTGATGTTGGAACAGAAGGGGGAGGCATTACAGCTTCTTTTGGTTCTGTTTCCTCATCTATAAAATGTGGATAATAGCACTTATTTCTGTGACCAGCTCAGGCTTTTACAGAGGAGGAGGATTACTGACTGCCATTATGTCCCAGTAGTGGTACTGGTGTTCTGTGCAGTTTTAAGCTGTGCAACTGTCTGAAAAAATGCTTTGCAACTGAAAATGACGCTATAGTTAACAAGCCTTTGGGCATGGGACTGCCACTCTTGGCTGTGTGGCTTTTAAACAGAAGCCTGTGAATTCTGCTTTGGCTGTTGAATACTGCAGTGCATCTGCAGCACTGATATCTCTGTATTGCATCATTCTGTTGGAGAGTCAGAAATCTACAGCACTTGGGAGGAAGTGTCCCTTGTGATAGTTTTACAGCAAAGTCAGTAATTTTAAGGTAAAACTGCCTGCAAGAGATTTTGTTAACTCAAGCCAATCATAAATATGGTATGCAAGTTCATTTTACTAAATAACCTGTCCTTGTAAATAGTCCTTGTTCCAGTAATGGAAATGGTGATCACATTTTTATTACTGTGTCATTTTTGTTTTGATTGTGTTGGTGGTTTATCTCGTTTTTGAGAATTGTGTTGAGAGAAATAGGAGAACACTGAATTATATTGATTTATGTTTTCCTGTTGTTGAGTAGGAAACGGGCTGCAAGGGGTGAACCTTTTAATTAGTTCCATGCCCTGTTGTTATGAATTACCAGAAAGTCTCAACTGGGTTTGCTGCAGACAGCGTGGGAGCTATGAGACTACTTTACAAATAGTGATGTTGTCTTGTGCTGTTCCCTTCTACTGTGTGCCAGATCATGTTTCCACGCTGAAATTTGAGAATGTGGTGCATCTGAGTATTTATACATATATGCACAGTGATTCTAATGGGAGATACCTAGCATTGTCATGTTATTTTTCTGCAATGATAATATGAAAATCCTTGATCAATGCTGTTAAAGATTCTGATAAGGATGGTAAAAGATTTGAGTGAGTTGTGTTATGGTAGCTGTGTATAACCAACAAAAGTGACACTAATGTAATCTTGTGAAGGTTTAAAACTTCTGAAGTACAAAAAGTGAAATAAAATCAGTTATAACACAGAATGGAGCCAGTTTAATACAAGTATAAATAAATACACAATAAGAGATACAGAATAAGGCAGATATTGACTATTTCTTTTTTTTTTTTAATATTGAAGTTCTGTGTTTGCTTTTTCTTTAACTCGATCTATTTTCTCTCTCCAGGACTGGAATCTGACATGGCACACAGAAAATCCAGACTTCACCCAGTGCTTTCAGAACACAGTCCTGCTCTGGATCCCTTGCATTTACCTGTGGGTCTGCTTCCCAGTGTACTTCCTACACCTTCGTTGTCATGACAGAGGTTACATACAAATGTCAAACCTCAACAAAGCCAAAACGGTATATGACTTTTTAAAATCAAAACTTACTAAGCTTATCTGGAAGTTTGATTCTATTTTCAGCTGTGTTTTAGAATATTATTTTTACTGGGCATCAATCTTGGCCTGCATGCAAACTTCGGCTGTACCTTACTTTTCCTGCTTGTGTTTGATTTCCAAGACTTATGTGTATCAGTAGGCTTTCTGAAATTTACTCTGATATAGCAAAAAAGCATACAAATTGTTTGTTAGACCAGTTGGAGAAGACTATCTTAAGGCAACTCAATCTTGAGGCCTTTATTTAATAATAAATAAAAAGAATTTATTATCCTGTCAGCTTCTCAAGTTACGCAGCATAGATTTCTAGAGGTGCTCCAGGTGTTTTATTTGACTTCTGTTGTGAAAAAGGTACTTAATGTTTTCTTACTTTTTTGTCCCCAGTGTAGAATAAGTGAAAAGTTTTAAGAAGGACTATAATAGCACGGTGTATTGGAGAGTTTTTGTCCCTGCAATTTGTTATTCAAGAGTGAGATTCACCAGCTTTCTGCTTCGTAATACACTGAATTATATGGTACTAAAAATTAGTAAAGTTTTTTCTTCTAGTGGGGATCCAATAGGTAAAGCCAAATTACTCTTGTGCATGTTATAAATTGCCCAAAAGTGATGATCTGATTATGACTTCTAACACATAACATCTAGTGTACATGTATATATTGTGCTGCCTAATCTGTGTGAACTCATGTATGAAATACACTTTTGTATTGTAGGCTTTGGGCTTAATACTGTGGATAGTCTGCTGGGCAGACCTTTTCTACTCTTTCTGGGAAAGAAGTCAAAATATTTTTCGAGCTCCATTTTTTCTTGTTACACCTACAGTATTGGGTATAACAATGGTAAGTTCTTCTGTTATGTTCATGTGAAGCTTTAAGAAATAACATGCATCTTGGTGTTATTCAGGTGGTGTAATTCTTTAAGCTACAGGCTTTACATACAGACTTAATCTGTAGTTGAACTGTGGAATATTGGCTCTGAAATGTCTGCTTTCTTGTAATAAAAAAAATTAGAAGCTGCCCCCTGACTCAGCTGTGCTCATTGCATTGCATGTCAGCACACAAGCCAGCGCTAGTTGTCTTGGCTTATTTTGGTAGGCTTGGGCTACCATTCATTTCATAGCTTAACTCAAGCATGGGGTCGAGAGGACTGATTGAACCTAGATAAAGACGCTGAACTTGGTAAAAGACTGTCAAAGGCATTGCATTATTAAGTATCTTATTACAAGCTCTCTTGCATGTAACATTCTTTAGTGCATGTTTTCTTTCTTACATTTGATGGCACGATGGCAAGTCCTAAATGCCACGTGAAGCACATGGGTGTCCCCAGCTAACTCCTTCTACCTAGATGCACGAGTATTGTCTACTTTCACACCACTGTCTCTGCAGCCTGCATTTCAAGGAAAACGCCTTCCTGTTCATTTATTGTCAACTGCCTCACATTTATCATGGACTTAAAATGGTAGAGATTAAACATGGTACTCAAGGGTGGGACACAACTCCAACAGCAATAATGACAACAAAAAAAACCAAACAAAGAAACCCCCAACAGCCTTGAAACATACTGGCAGGTGCAAGAGCTATTAAATAGTTTGTGGTCATTTAATAATGCAATTGTCAAGCTTTTGTCAGGATAATTGAAAATGCATGTTGAAGCAGTGAAGTGAGAGTACTAAATTGTACCAGCTTCCTAAAGGACTCTGAAAACACACAAAATACAGAAATATACTAATATTTGTTCAGTGTTGTTCGGCATTGTGGCTTGTATTGAAAGAAATCTTTTTATCTTAAAACAAGTTAGTCAGGATATACTTGGAAAGGTTATAGTGTAACTGTAATTGCATGTTTATTTGTGATGTAGAACTAGAAGAGTAAAGAAATAAAGACTGGCAGCTATTGACAGTGCTTCGGTGTACATGGTTGTTTACTTCCATGGAATACATGCTCCTTTTCCCTTTTTTGTCCACTTCCTGTCTTCACTGCTCCAGAGAATTTCCTATTCATACATACTTTTGAATTATATTGAAATTGAATTATATAAATTTGAATTTCCTCTGGGTGCTACAATGTATTGGGAGATACTGGATTTGACATGTTAAATAAGCACACTTTAACTCAGTACCTTGTATTTGTATATAATGTGTTGTAACACTTAAAGCTTGTGAATATATTTTTATCTTATTTGTCCACAGTTGCTTGCCACATTTTTAATACAATATGAAAGATTAAAAGGAGTCCAGTCTTCAGGTGTAATGATGATTTTCTGGCTCATCTCATTGTTGTGTGCCACAGTGGTTTTTAGATCCAAAATAATACATGTAAGTAATTGTTAGGCTCATTCAACTGAAAGTAATCCCAAGTGCTGCAGTTACTTGCTAGTTATGCCAGTCAAGTCAGTTAATGATCCACCCAGCGTACCTCCATTCCTTGGGTTATAAAAACAAAACAAGCAAGACTTAATGGCCCTTGTTTTGAAATGCTAGTGAAATCCATAGTGATCTTAACTATAGCAACAGTTGCCAGGTATATGCTGCTAGCTGTTCCAGAAGGGGAATGTGTCTGAGTACAATAAAAGTGTATATAACCTTTAATGTGAAACTGTTTGGGGAGTTTACGTTGTCTTCCTGTTGATAATGCAGTGGATTTCCTGAAACAGTTGGTTTGGTGGTCTCATCTGCTGAGACAAAATGAAAGTGTACGAGTGAAATATTTTTATGTCGGTCTGCTCAAGGCTATCTCAAATATCAGATTAATTGTACAGCTGCCTGAAAATAGCCCATCAGTTTTATTTCTTGAAACCTTTAAGCCATGTTGAGAAGTTTGAGAACTTTCAGACAACTTTTTTCTCTAGCTGTTGAGTGGGATTTTACTGATGGGTGGGGGTGTGTGTCCATCTGTCCCTATGCTTTGATTTCTGTGGGGTATGCCTTATGTATCCATCCCAGTTTAAAAATTGGAAGAACCTCTGGAGTTTGAGCACAGCACAACAAACTGTAATCTGAATGCTGCTCCTCTGATTCTTATTTTCTGCGTGCATACTTATTAACAAATTTGCTTTGAAAACTCCTTACTATCCAGTGCATAAGTACCTTGCTCCTGTAAAGAATACCTTGACTTCAAATTGGGGCATGATGTGTTGGCAGAAAATGTGTCTTAAAAGAGAACTTCTCTACAGAAGAAGTTTATTCTTGTGTGTTTATGGTAGTGATTGATTAAAAATAAATGTAATCTTTCATCTCCCTTCTCCTCTATTTACCTTTCCTTTACCAAAATAGACATTGATTTGCATGGGGATGGGTAGTGTAACATAAATGTAATTTGCAGAATTTACAGTAAGGAGCTGTTTTATCTTTAATAGTAACATATTTTTTTAAAGAAATGTCTCAAGCCTTCTAATTGGTATATTACCTTCCTTTGTAGGGTGCTGAAGTGGATGCATTTCGTTATGTCACCTTCTGCATCTACTTCATCCTGTTACTTGTACAGCTCATCCTGTGTTGTTTTCCAGAACGACCACCTTTGTTTTCTGAAACAGTAAATGATCCTGTAAGTGTTGAGTCTATACTGTGTGCTGAGTGTCATATGTGCAATATTCTATAGGGTCATAGTCTCCCAAATGCCAAATAATTCAAATCTTGTTGACTTGGTTGCAATAGCTTGTTTTTTCTGCTTTTTAGTTGGTGACGCAGATGATGAAGCCCCTAACATGCAAAACAGGTTGGGTTGTATGTAAGAGAAAGAGCAAAAATACTGTTTCAGTCATTCCTGAATAGCATTGCTGAAGGTTAAGTCATATGAATTTATATTCAGTAGTGCTTCTGGCAATTGGTGGGAGATACTGATTTGAAATGCTGTCCTTCTAGTCATCTGATACCATTCAGTAGGTGGTGACTCATAAGGATATGTATTCCTTTCCTATTGAAGGTGAGGAAGAATCTGCACCTGGAACACTTGTGAATCTGGATAGATGCATTTGATTTCCATATTTACCTCTCTTGTGTCAAGCAAAGATTTAACCATCTCAATTGCAACAGCCATTCATGTTAGAAGGTTGTCTGGATGTAGAAATTTAATTTTATCTGGACGTGATATTTTTTGCATGTGTTCTTAATTGTATGTGCTTGCTATATGGCATGGGCCTAAAGTGACCTAAGGGATGCTGGGTCATGATACTGCTTGCTTACCCCTGGGGCAGACCTTCTGAGTTACAGTGGAGTGACAGCTGTCACTGCCTGGAGTTTGGATGCACCAAGTTTAGAAACCTCAGTTCCATATTTTTTCTATAAAGCATAATTCTGGTTTGATGGATGTTAGGTGGCATTGGCTGACAGAGGAAGGTATGAAATGTGTAAGGGGGAAATAAATGTTGCCTTTGTGACTGTGGAAAGGGTCCATAACCAGTTGCACTTAGTGAATTCTATAGTTACCTTCTCCATCGGTATCCAGTGTGCCAGTGGTGCTCTGCATGACCACTGGCAGACAGTCTGTGTGTGTGTGCCTGGAGGGAAGAGTGTATTGCTGAGTCTTTGGATACTCTTCATCTTTGGGTTCTTTTCATCTCATTCAGGGATGAAATGCATTTGACAGGACACTGTGAGTTTATGAAAACCTTCTTTTCTGCTTTGATCATGGTTACAATAATTACAAGGTGCTTTGAGACCACAGTGGTTTGTTTTTGCGTTCTGAGTATTTCTAGGAGTGTCTCTAGGAAATAGGGCAGACTTCAAATGTTAACTTTTTTTCACGAGTGATGTGTTTGTTGAATGTTATGATGGGGAAAAGAACAAAGCAAGTCACGTTAGTCTGTCTTAATTCTACTTTATTCCCTTCTGCCAAGCGTTGCCAAACCCGAAATGCTTGTAAGTCTTGAGTAAAATCTTACTCTGGGTTTACTTAAGCCAAAAAACTACAGTGAAATTTCCAAGACGTACATGCTGATGTATATAGAAATCAAACAATGTGTTTTGTCTCTTGTTTTCACTTTGTTTCATTAAGTCCAGTCTTGTTACTTGTCTTCATTCTATCTGGCATGAATGTCAGTAGGATTAATAGTTCTTTATGTGATAACTGTTTAATTTTATCAAAAATTGTATTATTTTAACAGTAATCTAATATGTTTTAGTGTTTTAAACTTTTGCTTTATGCAAATGAAGTCTAGTTTTTGGTAGTACAAGATCTAGTGGACTCTTGAATTTAGGGTTTCCACGTGGAAGTAGATTTTAAAAAGTATAAAGGAAAAATTACAGCGTTTTATGTAAAGTTGAGAATATTTTGAAATTTTGTTGAAGTTGAAAGTATTCTCTCTATTTGCTGAAGACACTTCAGTATAGTTTAGTGGAGAAGCCAGGTTACACAAACATTAATTGAAAAATGCAAATCTTGGAAACACTTGTCTCTGGCTGTTTTAATTGCAGTACTCTAATGATGTTTGGTGACTTTTGTAGATGGAAATACCTGCATTTCTCCAATTATAATTGATGGTAAAAACCTAGTGGTTTGTGTACCAAAGGAGTGGCTGGTTTAGCATTCTTTAGAGGCTGTTCAGAGCAGTGAAAGAGGAAAGTGAGAAATCTGCACTGGATTTCTGCAAGTAAATCACCTTTAGTGCCTTTTAAATTCTTCCAGCCTTCCTCTCTGTGGTTTTAATCCAACCAGATAAGGAGAGGATGTTAAACTACTGAAGAGGATGTTAACTACTGAAGAGTAGTTAAAACAGACAGCCGTTGTGCTGGGTGTAGAACATGAGCTAGCTGGGTACATTTATGTACCCATGATGAATGAGATGCGCGTTTTTTAGGGGCTGTTTTGAGATGCTTTTATGGAGTTTACAACTTTTATTTTCATTTGTGCATCTGTTTTGATGGAGTGACAACATTTAACTGCTAGAACAGTAGATCTGAATTCTTAATTTCTAATTTCTATATTTACGCTCTCATATGGTAGTATACCTTGCATTGGTGCGGGTAGGCACCTATCCTGACATCTGGAGAGACTGTCTGGCCTGCACTGTCATAAAATTCCCTCAACTACTTGTTGCATTGTTGATGGAGCAATGCTATTCCTGCGTCCCAGTGGTCTAGTCTGATGACAGCTCTGAAGCTGTGCCTGTGTTTTCTGAACAAGCTCTCAACAACATGAATGACAGGTTTAGCAATGTGAAAAAAATACTATAAACAAAAGGAATTTCAAAAGCATCTTTTCTGCTTGGTTTGTTTCTTTTGGCCTGGTATCAGTCACTTTGCATGTAGATTGATTTCTTTCTCTCCTTTAGAATCCGTGTCCAGAGTTCAGTGCTTCTTTCCTCTCCAGAATTACATTCTGGTGGATCACTGGGTAAGCTCAAGATGATTCATAAAAGTTAGTTGGCATGTTAGGGTCCTGCTTTCAGAGTTAAATTAGCAATAATCATTCAGTAATAGTGTTGGTTGTTTTGGTTTGTTGTTTTGTAGATAGATTTTTTTTTTTTCAAATTTGATTAATCTTTTTTACTTCCTCCGTAGTATGTTTGCTGAAAGAATATAAAAAAAAATTTGGGATATATAAGAGGGTAGAAATTAAGGCATTCAAAACTGTTAGCTCTTTTTGTCCAATAGGTTCTTTTTTTTTTTTTTATTAACTTAGCTTTAGTTATGCTGTATAATTTGATTACAACACATGTTCTTGTGAGTTAAAACACAGAAACATGTGAAATAATATTGGTGTGTAGTTGTGGTTGGTACTTGGCCAGAGTTCCAGCAGAAAGATAGATGAAAGAAATTGCTTTGTAAAATTAAAGGCTGTTAAAGATTTTGAAACTTGGTAGGCCTGGGAATATTAACTGCCTGGATGATTTTCAAATGAAATATTAATTCAGTGGCATATCCTGGATCCTTTGATGTTTTTGTGTCTAATTCTCACAGTAAAGACAGGAGGAGGTATGTTTTAACATTTGGACCCGTGTTGCTAATTCTTGCATGCATTTTTGTGAAGAGCTTACTCTGTTTTGGGGCTAGATGTAAGGACCACTGTCTCACACACACACACACACACACACACACACACACACACATCTCTACTGTTCTTAAATATATAGTGCTGATTCTTTCTGATACAGGTTGATGGTTCAGGGTTATCGGAGACCTTTGGAAGCCAAGGATTTGTGGTCGTTAAATAAAGAGGACAAATCGGAGGAGATAGTGCCAGGTTTGGCTACGAACTGGGCAAAAGAATGGGCAAAGACCAAGAGGTAAGTTCAGTTATCCTGGCTGGCAGTCCTTCTGAGATGTGGAGGTTCAAAAGCTCAAGTTACTCAGCCTCTAGTTAGAGGTATTTGTCATCAGTTACCAAGCCTGCTTTGGTAAGGCCCACATGGTAGCTCTGTATTTGTCCTTAAATGCTTACAGAACAGGAACCAAGCAGGGTGTTGTGTGTCTTCTTTATGAAGAGCTACATCAAGTTTCCCTTAGTCTTTCAGGATCCAAAGCTGATCATTGTTACTTTTGATGTGTGGTTTTTCCCTGAGGTGGGAATTTTTTCACAGTCAAACTTCAGTCACGTAATTTAGGAGCTTGGGCTCCCTCTATAGTTAGGAAAACCTCCAGAGGGTAGTTCAGGGTGTGAAACTGAGCAGCTTCTTTCCTTTGACTATATAGGGAGCCTGGGCATCTAAGCCATGACTAAAATTAGAAAGGTTGCATGCCTGCAGCTTCGATCCTGCTTTCATCATCCTTTACTGCAGCAAATACCAGCACCTTTTCATTGAAGGAAAATTGCTTGCTTGTTTACACAGTGTATTTTTACATACAGCTTGTCCTCAGAAGTTCGAAGTATGTAGTTTGGCATAAGCCAGATGTATGAAATGAATGTGTTCAGTCCATTGGGGATGACTTGGCGTAAATCTGATGGCAGTCTTTTAACTCTGGTGGTGCAGTGAGGTCTTGATTTTGATGAAAGTTCAGCGTACTGAGTTCTAGAATAATAATGTCCTTTGTTCTTTAAGTTTAACAGGTTATGGCCCTATTCCTCATTCTCCAGGGCAGACCTGTAGGAGAGATTCAGCAAGATTGTTACCTGTCCCTGCAAAGACCATTTCTGAATGGCCAGCTCATTTAACTATGGTTGTGTGATTAAATAGATGTTTGACAGTAAACCTTAGTTAAACTATTAAGAAGGGCAATAAACAGCTCATGAACATCTCATTTGTGTGCCATGCATTTTTCCCATTGGCTTTGTGCTTGAATAAAGGCTACATTATCTACCTACTCTTATTTCAGGCAACCATTAAACATGTTATACTCGCCTAAAAAGCAGCAAAAATCAAGCGACTCAAATGGTGATGTGACAGAAGAGGCTGAAGCTTTGATTATAAAACCATCTCAGAAGAGCTCTGAAGCATCTTTGTTCAAGGTGTTATATAAAACCTTTGGACCATATTTTCTCATGAGCTTCCTGTTTAAAGCTGCACACGATCTTTTGATGTTTGCAGGCCCAGAAATTCTGAAGTAAGACCTATATAATTTATTATTGTATTAAAAGTATGTGGACAGAATTTAAAACATGCTGGTATTTCACTCAGCAAGCTTCTTTGCCGTCAGCTGGTTCAATGAGGAAGGGTTGTAATGCAAGTTACAGACCATGCATGCAGATGATTTTGGTCCATTGGTTTTCCAATTATAACATCGTACATTAAATGTCTGACTTCTTATGTTCCTTTCCAACACTAGGAAGGTCAGGCAGGAACATAATCAACAATAGCAAGAGAGTTTATTTAATTCTAACCTGTAATGATTGTGGGACTACAAGTCACAGTATGTGAAGCAACAGAGAGCTCAGGGGGTAGGAGGAGTCATATTGCTTAAGGTGAGAAGAAGTAAAACAACTGTAACCGGTTGTGTTTTAGCTGGAGGGAATAGAAGACTTTTTAGTGTAGCTCCCAGAGAATGCTGTACATGCAAGGTATGTGAAACTTCATGTTTTAAAGTAGTGCATGGTTAGGAGGAGGGAGTGATACGTGCTAGTATAAAATGATCTGCAATTTCTAAGAAGCTGCTTAAGTGTTTTATCTCAGTTGGAAATGCTGGGAATAATTTAAGTTTTTAACCCTGACATTTCATTTTCATTTGCATATATCAAGAGAACCAATTCCTCTCTCCACAGATTGCTAATCAACTTTGTAAATAACAAAGCTGCCCCAAACTGGCAAGGCTACTTTTATACAGGGCTGCTGTTTGTTTGTGCCTGTCTTCAGACACTGATTCTTCACCAGTACTTTCATATTTGCTTTGTAACTGGAATGAGGCTCAAGACAGCTATTGTTGGTGTAATTTATCGAAAGGTAGGTGTTTCTTTAAATATACAACAGTACCTCTCAGTGACTGTGCGAATACATTGCTTAAGTCTGAACAATTAAAGTAGTCAGGAGACTGGTAGGCTGATTCCTAACTCTTAATAGAAATAAGGGAGTATCTAATTTATAAATAAAAACCTTTAAGATAAAGTAATTTTCTAATTTACTAGTTAAAGTTCAGGCACCACCTTCTTCCCACTACCAAACAAGTAACCTTGGCTCATTGAGACTAGAGATGTAAAACTGCTTCAGTTTGTGCAGAGATTAAGATGCATCTACATTTACAGCTTCATTTGTGACTTAGCAGCAGTGCCACCTCATCTTGGAATAAGTTGGAACATTTTAGAAAGCTGTGGACTGGTTGCTCTGTGTGAGGAAAGAATGTGTGACAAGAAGTGAAGATTCGGCTTCTTACACTAAAAACCGAAACAAGCAAACAATACACCCCAAGCAATAAAACCACCAGCCATCCAACCCTAACCCCAAAGACTGCTTGTTGTTTTTATTTCTCTATTAGTTGAGATCCAGCTGCTTGCTTCAAACTATACAACTTGCATTTTGTAAGATGTGCAGACTAAATGGAATATGAAACAGGAAAAGGATTGATTGTAATTTGAAAGATTAAGCTCTGTAAAGCAATTGAATTCTGTGGAGAAAATGCAAATGAGTAAGTCTTTCTTTGCATTGCCTTCATTGTTTTTTATTTTTAATCTGCACCTAGGCACTTTTTATCACAAATTCTGCTAGAAAGACTTCTACTGTGGGTGAGATTGTGAATCTGATGTCTGTGGATGCTCAGAGATTCATGGACTTGGCTACCTATATAAACATGATTTGGTCTGCACCTCTCCAGGTGATATTAGCACTGTACTTACTGTGGCAGGTGAGTGTTGTGTGTTGTTTCCTGTTTTGACTTTGGCAATGTGCTGCTTGCTGTGGGTATGACTACACACAGCTGTTGTTCAGACCACTGGAGGGTTTACAACAGTGTGGAGAAAACACCTTTCAGAGCTGCTTCTGTCACTGCTGTCAAGAAGGAAAGCAGCAGGTTCTTAATTTGCACATCTGAGTGCATTTGGGCAGGATGCAGATGGGAGCTATCATCTGTTGGGGAACTGCAGCACCTGTAGTATCTCACTTGTCACTCGATTTAAAGAAAAGTGGTCTTGGTTCTGCAATCGGAGTCACCGTATGAGATGTTTGCTATTTCTAGTCCAGAGTCACAAGACTGACTCTTCCTGATTCTCGGTGTCAGTCAGAAAGGTCATGAAAATCCCCAAGAAGCTGATCACTCCCTCCATGGGTCTCTGCTTCAGAAGAATAGACAAACCAACAAAACCTGGAAAATATTAGAAGACTCTGCATGTGTGTATAGATAGAGATATATATTAGAGAGATTGATCTGTATCTATATATACACCTCTCTATATGTGGGCTATATATATGTTTGTTTCAAAAATCAAAGCACATAAACATCACCCCAAGCCCCTACTTGATCTTCCTGTTCTTTCCCCCAAGCTGGTTCTTGAAAAGGAAAGAAGAGGTTGAAAAGCTATTTCAGAATGCTTTTCTGTAGTGTATGTGGTGGTTTGACCCAAGGTTTTTTTAAAATTTGTTTGAGTAAGTGTTTACAATTAAGTCTTTTTCAGAATTTAGGTCCTTCAGTGCTGGCAGGTGTGGCTGTCATGATCCTTCTGGTTCCAATAAATGCTGTGATGGCAATGAAGACAAAAACCTATCAGGTTAGAACCTTTATATATGCGACAGAGTGCTTTTAAGAAACATGTTCTGTTCTTTGACTTGTTCCTGAGGTTTGGCCTTTTAACTTTTCTTTCACTCTGTTTATCCTTTAAAAAAAGGGAAGTGAAAGAAAGGTCAGAGATATTGTGTATGCAGAATAAACAAATTCACCTATTTTTCAGCCTTACAGTGTATCTGTACATAATGGTCTAAAAATTTTATAGTAGTTAAGTCCAAGGTAGCAGATTAGCCAGCTTCATGAAATGCCTAATGATTGGATTGGAATTAGTTTAGTTTTTAACTTGCTGCCTAAGTACTAAAGTGCAAATATAAACTACTGTCTGCCTAATGAGCCTTAATGGGTGAAATGTTCACATTTCCAGGATAGCTGTTGCAGTGTTGGGGGGTGGGTGGGTGTGGTTTGTTCTTGGTTGTTGTTGGTTTTTTCTTTGTTTTTTTCTCTTGGAGAGGTGAGGAAGGAGTAATCTTAGTAGTTGGCTGTCCTTGATCGCTACTTGATTTTATTTAGGAGAGATCAGTTTGTTACAGACAGTGCATATAAGTAAATGTAGACTCAAACTCTCCCATTTTCTATTGCAAAAACTACTTCCAACAGCCCTACTCCAGTGCTTTCTGGAATAGACTTCACTACTAACTGAATTTACTGAATGTCAGAGGAGAACGTTTTAGCTTTAGATGTTCATCAGAATACACCACAGCATTTGGTTCCTACATGGGAGAAGTAGGGCTGTCTAGCCTGTCACAGCCACACTGCCACTGCTGACAGCTGTCTGGGATAGCTACCGGTGCAGTCTGCTAACTCTGCCTAGTGCTGAGTCAGAACATCGCTTCAGCTTTGCATTGCCCTCATTAAAATACTTTATGAAGATGGAAACTTCTGAAGAATGGACTTTCTTCTTATAGCTGAATGGAAAGCTTTTGCCTTAGTGCACCATCAAAAAGCCATTGATAGTGCTGAAAATGAAGCAAACCCAAGTTTGCTGTAAGGTTAGATGCAAACTGCACATCACTGAAGCTTGATTGTAGTGGCTTATTTTTTAACTGCGTATTGTACCTAGGAGGAACCTTAGTCCCAGGGCTTCCTGATGCAGGGTTAATCCAATTTAAACCAGTGCCACAATTGTTTTGATCTCAGTTTGGATTTTTAGTTGCATGAAGCATTCTTTTAATTGGTTTAAAACATCTTGTTAATTCTACATATTTGTTTGTTCAGATAGCATCTCAGATTTCCTGCTTGGGAAGCTAGTAAGCTTTTGATGATAATGAGGTAGATTTTGCTATTGCAAAATACAAAGCTCAGAACTTTGTGGGTCTGCCAAGTATTGTGCTCTGTTAATTATTTTTTGCAATGTTGTTTTTAGGTGGCTCAAATGAAGAGTAAAGACAACAGAATTAAGCTGATGAATGAAATTCTCAATGGGATTAAAGTTCTAAAACTTTATGCTTGGGAATTAGCCTTCAGAGAGAAGGTATTAGAGATCAGACAGAAAGAACTCAAAGTCCTAAAAAAATCAGCTTACCTTGCTGCAATGGCAACCTTCACTTGGGTTTGTGCTCCTTTTTTGGTAAGTGAAACAAATCTAGAAGTCTGCTCTCCTGTCTGGGATCATGCTTTCCAAGGCAAAGCTTGAGAACTTGTTTTGCTTTGGTTTTTAGTAAGTGGAAGAGTCAGAATACCCTCGACAGTGGTGGGAAATTGAACACTTATATGTCTCCACTTCTCTATGAAAAGGCACTACTGTTTTCTTTGAAACTTAGTAACATCCAAGTTGGATGGGTACCCTCCCGGTGGTAGCTGTGGCTGACAGTAGAACTTCCTTTATTTCAGCATCTTTCTGAAGGCAAGATCCTTAGATAAGAGTCCTTGATCAAATGGGACATTGTGCACCAGGCTTACCTCTGCTCTGAGTTCTCCCAGCAACTGTTTAAAAACAATGTGGAGAGGTAAACCCGTTGTGCACCCTGGGGTTGCTTTAAATTCTTACTAAAAAAAAAAGCATTCTTGATATGTGAAACATCCCCACTGTGTTTGTAGTTAGCATACATTTAAATTAATAAAAGGGAGAGAAGGGTGAGATCACATCAAAATTGCTTCAGACCCTATTAGAACACGGGGCCATTGCTCTTGTCTGCAGAAGCAAATCAAAGCCATGACTACATTAGGATAAAATATGCGCTGTTCCAGTTGGAGGTGTTTAAGTGTACTTTCCAGTCTCAGATTCCTTCCTCACAAGCATTTTTAGTGTTTACATTATGTTTTGTGTATGATGAAAGGCAGAAGAAGCAGTGCCCTGAGTAGGAAACATCAGCTGTATTCTTAAGGGAATGCTTTTCTAAAAGAAGTCTGAGATGATTTTAATATAAATACATTATTAAATGAGGTTTCTAAATAAAGTTCTGCAGGTGAACTCCTTAATGCTGTTCTGTGGAGTCTGAGAAGACAAATTCCCCTGAGCAGTAGCTCTGTTTCAGCACATATTGTGAATGTGTGGCAATGGCCTGTGTGGCAATGGCCCTACACATCAGGGGGTTTGCCACCGGGGTGGAATTGGTACAGCCCCAAGTGCAAGGCTGCTGTTTAACATCCTGTTTCTTGGATTGTTATTCTTCTGTATATGTCCTTCTGAACTTCTGATTAAAGAATTATTGCAAGTGCCTACTTGAAAGCACTTTGGAGATGCAAAACTCTTTATTTCCTCTACTCCTTCTCCTGTTACCGTGGCCAGGGCTATTTAAAACATTGTTTAATAATGGTGTCAGGGAACTATTCATTTTGCAGTACCTCCTCTACTGCTATGGGTGCTGATAAGGGTGTATTTCAGACTAATTGCTGGTAACACAAGGATGCAGATGTGCTGCTTGTGGGGTTATTCTTTGGACTGTGTCTTGTTTTTGATCTCTATGGGAGGGCTTTCTCCCTGGGATATCATTGTCCAAACTAAGGATTGTACAAACAAGCCACTGTACCAGGCACAGCTGAGTCAGCCACTGTACAAAGAACAACACATCTTCACACTAGTCAGATTTCTAACAGAAATACTAATGTCTTCAATGGATGCTATGCATAAATGAGACTGTTCTTTAGGCATTTGAGCTGATGAAACTGTTTCAAGTCTTGAGGAAGGGAAGTGCCAAAGGTTGGCCTACCGTTTTTTCTTGTTTTAAGTGGCAATCTGTGGGGAAGAGTTGCTGGATCTTGTGATATACTGAGGTATGAGTGTTGTTACCATGGAAGAAAACACTGAAGGGAATAGATCTGGAAGTCAACATTTGGTTTTACTTAGTTTACTTTATTTTTACTAGAATTTAATCAACACATTTTTAAAAAATGTAAATAAGTATATGTATTTTTCAAATTATTTTTATACCTTATGATTGATGATAATAATGGTTCAATGTAATTTTCTTGTTCAGCATGGATCTTGAGCTTTTCTGTTGTGAACTGTTTAGGTACTGTAAGGCTTCATCTTTGTAATACAGTAACATTTCAAGTTTCTTGGAAAACAGTCTGTCCATGACAGGGTTGTGGTAGTCTCTACAAAATATAAAATGGGTTAGCACTGAGCTGTTTCTAACTTTTCTGTCTAGATATGTTAGTGATCCAGTATCTGGTACCATGGGGAATGCCTTAAAACTGAAAGTGAGCAGCAAGAAAATCTAGTGCTCATTCCTCTCCTTCCCTTCTGCTGCAGTGTGACCACAAATAGCCTGGGACATCTGTGGTTTCACCCTTGCTATGTGAAGAAAGTGAGCATTTGATGCCTTTCCAAGAGGAGCTGTCAGCTTCTTTTTACAACAATAGATTTAAATCAAACACTTGTTTTGCAAAAAGCATTATCAAGAACACGGAAGTTACCAGAACATTGCTGTTTCTTTGATTTGTAGACCTCTGATTACAGTTGTCAGACTGTGTTACTGCTGAGTTAGTGGCTTTAAAAAATGCTGCCCTCACTGTAACCATTACACTTTGTTCCAGGTTGCCTTGTCCACATTTGCTGTGTACGTCACGATAGACAAGAACAACATCTTGGATGCTCAGAAGGCATTTGTTTCCCTAGCGTTATTCAACATCCTCAGGTTTCCACTGAACATGCTTCCTATGGTTATCAGCAGCATAGTAGAAGTAAGACTTCAGTCTTTAACAGTGTTTCTGTGCAGAAATGGCCACTGGGTGGAAAGATTACATTGCTGTGCTTAAAAAATGTCCACTGATGAAATTCAGCCACCCTGGAAACAGGGCTGTGCATTTCCTCTGTGTTAAGTGCTGTGCAAGCACAATTGTCAATCCCAGTGATGGTGCATGGATGTTCCTGAAATCAGCCATATTTCTTGTGATTTGGAAAGTGTGAGTTTGATGACTACCCAAGAAACTATGCAAGGGATTTAAGAAGGGATTAGGAGTGCATAATAATGATGTGATGTATATGTGGTGCAAAACAAGCTCTTAAATATAAGGAGCAGAGGTATAAGATAGTTTTGCATCTGTTTCCCATGCAGGCCAGTGTCTCCTTGAAGCGCCTTAGGGTGTTCTTGTCTCATGAAGAGTTAGATCCAGACAGTGTAATCAGAGGTCCCATCACCTCTGAGGGTGAGTTTCTTTTCCTGTTGAAAATCAGTGTGTGCAGGTTTTGGATGGCTTCACAGCGTTTCTTTTGCTTTTTGTAACAAATTTATTGGTGGATTTCACTGATAAATTTTAGCCAGGCTGCAGAGAAGGGAGTTTGTAAAATGAAAATTACATAAAGTTGCTACCACCTTCTTTTCTTCCCCTAGTTCCTGTGTCTAGACTACAGAATGATTGCATCCAGACACAGATGGTTGCTTTCAAAATTACTTGTTAGACTGATTTAAGTGTAGCCATTTGAAATTTGTAGGCAGTTAACAGGATGATAATTAATGCTGTACCAAAACCCAGCATTTTGGAGAAAAACAATCATATAACACTTTAGCAGCCTCGAGGGAGAAAGGCTGAGTCCCACTTCCTGTAAATGCCTCTACTTTGTTTCATGCAAAAGCTTTACTTCCAGCATCACTCTCACTGTATCCAGTATTTTCCCCTATCATTCTTGTAGTAACTTGGCTTCACACATGGAATTGGCACTTTAGCTGATGCTTCCATTGAGGCACAAGTCAGATTGAGGCTGCTAGATTCTTGAACTGACTTGGCAGTGCTGCAGTGGAGTTACTGGATAAAGGAAGATGCAGCTGAGTAAGTCGGGATCTTTGTATAGTTGACATTCATGTACCTCCTGGTTACTGAATAAGTGTAACCTCAGAACCTCTGAGGTCTTGATAAATTCAGTAAAAGTAGAACACAGGCTTTTGGTAAGAAGTTGGTGGTTGTTCTGCTGGAAAAGTAAATTTATACCTCTGCCTGAGTGTGCTTAGATTGACTTCTGTGGTGTGATCCAGAGCATACAATTTAGCTGCTTGCATTGGCACTTTTAGAAATATGAATTTCTATTTGTCAGCTGAAGGAAGCATTATTGTGAAGAATGCAACGTTTAGCTGGTCCAAAAATGATCCTCCTTCACTGAGCAGGTAAGAATTAGTACCCTTTGTTCTGCTCCATAAACGTGCTGCATCATAAATTATCTGTATTTTAATTGTAAAATCTATACACAGAAGTTTGTTGCCTTAAAGGAACAGGAGAACAAATGACATTTGTGCTATATATTTTTTATTTTTAAATGAGGGGCTTAATGAACTAGAGGAATTTACCAAATATGTTGTATGTATGGAATGCATAAAGGGGAGTAGCAAGAGGTATAATGAGACCAGAGAAAGCCTCAGAGATTTTAAACTCTTGCTAAGTGCTGCAGTTGGGATGAGCTCCATCTAGAGGATGCAGCCAGATTAGCCCCTCTTAATTATTTCTAGTCCATGTTTGCACTATGTCCTCAGTCTGCCTTTTAAAATCTTACTCTTGCTGAACTGTAGCCATCCTTGATTCCTGTGCTGCAGAAAACCAGTGAAGAACCTTGCATGTGGTATGACTAACAAAGTAACTGGGGTGATGCAGCTACAAGCCATGTCTTCCCTGTGCACTGACCTCTTCCTTAATTTTGGCTACGCTTTCTCGAGCCTTGAATTGTATATTCTGTGGGACAAGGGTGCTGTTTGGGAAGCATCCATTGCTGTTTACATTTTTGTTCACAGAACATTTGAGAGAAATATTGGACAGGTTGTGTCACAGTGACTTTTTTAAAAATCTTTTTTCTTCCCCTTTTGACTAATTGTATGTTAAGATGCTATGTCCTAAGCATAAGAAGAGCTGGGGGCTTTCTAAATGAGAAATTTGCATTTTCAAACAGTTGAAGTTTCTTTGCGGTGTCAGCATTTACAATGGGTGTTCACATTGCATCTGGCTTTATATGGGCTGTTCAGTAGACTGTTTAACTACTGGGATGTGCCAGCAAGCAAGGCTGAATTATGTGCTCTTTATTTCAGCATTAATTTCACTGTTCCTGAAGGCTCTTTGGTCGCTGTTGTTGGTCAAGTTGGCTGTGGAAAGTCTTCACTGCTGTCTGCATTACTGGGGGAGATGGACAAAAAGGAAGGCTACGTGGTTGTTAAGGTGTGGTGTGTCTGAAGAATTGTTCAGCTATTTGTGGGTATTGCCAGAGGGATTCTAGATTTCCAGGTGGTGTGAAGAGGAGAAGAGACAGCCTTTCAAATGAACAAAGTGCCTTAGCCTGCACTTTGTGTGATCGTCTGTTAAGCCTCAACCCAACAACTTCTAAATCTGTTGGTTTTAGATTTACCCAAATAGACAGAATGATGGAGGTCTCAAAGATAAGTACTCTGGTGAGTCTTGTTGGTAGCCAGGTATGAGGTGGGGAGACCCTATTATATATATTCCAGCCTGAGGAAGAGTAGTATTGGTTCATATCTTCTTAGACATCAGAGAATTGTAAGGAGTGAGGGTACACCCAGATACCCACACATCAATGTTGTTGTTTGTACTTTCTTAGACATAAGAGTTGCACAGAGCTCACAGAGGAATAATGCTCTGGAAGTAATTAAGTAAATAACTAAGTAAAAAGTCCTTGTTTTGGATTTTGCTGCTGCTGTATTGTAGGGA